CATGAACAGATATTAGTTTATTACTTCCCAACTACTGAGCATCTCATTTGAGTTAATTAGCACTGTACCTACTACCTAATCACCGAGCTGTGAGCGAGACATGGACATGCTGGCATAGCAAAAGGTTGGTGTTACTCTGTGAGCATGTCATGATCGTCGTTCCATCATGCGTTCCTAGAAAGGATCAGGGCGTCAGACCCTATAATAGTAATACGACCAAATATAGCGGCTGTCACTCTGTCAGCATGTCATGATCGTCGTTCCATCATGAATAGATTTGGTACTAGATCTGTTGCCTGCTACTTTTAATTTTCTGTCTTATTATTACTTCTGAACTAATCAGCATCTCATTTGGTTAATTCACATTGTACCTAATCACGGAGATGTAAGCGAGACATGGACATGCTGGAACTTCCTTGGAAGACTTGGTGTTAGGCTGTACACCAAATCCTTTTTCTTATTCTTTGAGCGGATCTACACCAAATTGGTAGACATGTACTAGCGTTACAATAATTCAAAGTCAAGTTGCAATCCAAAATATAAGAGGCTGCATATAGCCCAGTACCATAAGGATTAGTTTCACAACCCCCAAGAGGAGCTTCTCCCACGTCAGGCCTGCCCTTCCCTGGCGCCCCCACCGTTTTCATTCATCTCCAGGTGCGTATGCAGAGGCTGTGAAGTGCCTTCTTCAGTCCAGTTCGGTCCTTCCCCCCTAAGCACAGCTTGATCAGCAGCTGATCCATGCCATAGAATGGCTCTACCCCGCGATTATGTCGTTCCCTTGTTAGTTCCCTCTTCTTGAGTCTTGAACTCTTGATCGATGATTAGCCAATTTTTAGACATGTTATATGTCCCTCCGGATTCATCGTTACTCTCCATTTGTTTCCTACTTTTTCTGAAGGTTTTCATATTCACTAAGAGACTTTCTTGGTGAGTAGCAGTATTGAGTTTCATGCATCGACTACTTCACTTGATAGCCTACGATTATGGATAAAAGTAGACGGCATGTTTGAAGTGAATCTCAGAGCGATCTTATTCCCCCTTCGAAAGAATATCTGATACTAAAATAATTAACCTATATATGCCCGAAACTTTGTGCCATGATACCATGGTCTTTGCGCCATGGTACTATATGATTCAAAAAGAGTCTATCACATAATCCTGGTGTTCTCAATGGCGGTGGTTGATGCTGATGCTAGTTGCCCTGTACCATTAATTGACCAGGCATTACATTTGGGGTCATGTCTATTTTATTTATTTCTGTAATATGTTGTGTTATATATTGCACAGGCCGAGTATACTTGGTAACAGTTTGATATTAATATATTATCCATTGTAAAAAGAAATAAGCTTATTGCATATCCCTACAATAGACCACGAGTACTATTCCCTTGGTTATTATTTGAAAATTGCATCATATGGTTCATTGGCTGCTTGTTGTATTTGCATCAGCTGTGCACTTGGTTGTGCGTTCAACAAGCATCACACAGAAGGATAAGCACTAAAGAAAAGATGAACTGCCCAACTACAAAGACAAAACCATTAAACAAAAATGTGCCTCTGTTATTCTAGAATGTCGGAAATGTCTGTTCTGGCCATTTTATCCTCAATTGAGACCCTAAATCAACATAAACTTATCAAAACAGCAATTCTGCTGATCTAAAACAACTTCTAGCATGACACGTTTTTAATTTATTGTTGTAACATTATTTGAATTTACCGAAAAAGGCTTTCGGCCCGCTTTATAAATAAAGCACCAATCAACAAGCATCTAGTACAAACACACGCCACACCACCGCAACACACGCACACACCCAGGACAAGATACAAAGGCGCTGAGCGCAGCAACACCACCCCTAGCACTACCACACAGAGATGAAGCTACATATGACGAACCATGCACTCCAAGGCGGCACCTTCAAGAAGGGAACGACACCGGCGCGCCGCCACCGCCCGATCCAAGGATCAGAGTTTCCCCCGGAGCCACATGACGGGCAATGAAAGCCGCGACGACGCCTTCAAGAAGGGAACGATCTTCGCCACCGCCGGTCCGTCCGAAGATAGAACAGGTTTTCACCTCGGCCAACACTCACCGCCACCGAACGCCACACCCCGGCAACCACGCCGCCCACACGGCCAAGGAGACCGGGCAGCACCAAGGCACGGGCTCTGCCCACGAGCACCGCGCTACCACCACCAGGGCCGCTGCCCCAGCATCCAAGACCTCGACACCACCTCACCGGAGACCCGTCGCACCCCAACGAAAGAGACGAGCAGAAAGGTCCCACCTTTCGCCATCCTGGGCGACCCCCAGCGTCGAGACCCAATAGGTCGGCCAAAACTGGCATCCACCGACCCGTCCTGCAGCCCCGAGCGCGAGACGAGCTCGGTCCTGCTGCATCGAGAGGGGGACGAGATCAGTCCTGCTGCACCGTGCACGAGACGAGCACGGTCCTGCTGCATCGGGCGCGGGACGAGCACGGTCCTGTAGCACCGGGGCGCGAGACGAGCGGCGGACCGCAGCTGGGAGAGGACCAGCCCATTGATGGGTGAAACGCCCAGACGACGAGGAGATGGGGTGAAGGCCGAAACGGCCCGACCGCAGACGAGCCGACGCCGAAGAAGCCGACCGCTGCCGCGAACAGATCCGTCGAGCTACCGTGGAGCCGCCACGACACCGGGAGGCCATCACCGAGACCGTCCCATGCCGCCGCCCACGGCCGGAGCAGCGGCCACGCCCGGCCGATGCCAACCCGCGCCGCCTGCCGAAAAATTTGCATCAGATCCGGCCGGCACGCCCCCACCTCCACCAGCACCAGCCCGCCTCCGACCCCGACCGAGAGAAGAAGGAGGTCGAGCCATGGCCCGAAGAGAAGGGGTCCACCGGGACCCGTCCGCCGCAGCCCGTGGTCGGAGCTGTACCACCGTCGCCACCAGGCGAGTCGCCCCCGAAGGCCCGCCCGCCGCCAGGCAACAGCAGCAGGCGGCTCCCCAGCCTCGCCGGAGCAGCAGCCCGCCAAGGCAGAGCGCCCTCCGGCCCACGCTGCCGCAGCCCGAGCCGGACGACAAGGGGATCTGGACCTAACGCCCGCAGAAGAGCCGACCCGCCATCTCCGCCTCGCTAGCTGCCCATCCATCCGCGCAGCCGCTGCCGCTCCGCCGGCAGGCCGCGCCACCCCGCGCGAGCGACGCGCCCCTGCCAAGCTGTGGCGCCCGTGCCGTGAGCAACAGGGGAGGGGGGCCAGAAGATCCCGCCGCCGCCGACGCCGACCGGGCTTCGCCAGGCGGCGCCCTCCGACGGCGGCGAGGAGGAGAGGAGGTGGGGAAGAGGGCTGGTGCGGCGGCCGCTAGGGTTCGCCCTGCCGCCCGCGGGAGCGTCTCGGGCGAGACAAGAGGTCCCACAGCCTTGTATATGAGCGCCACATTATTTGAATTTGACCCGCTCTTTCTGTTGTCTAGCCATAAGATGGATTAGCCACCATCCCAGTTAGCATATAAAAATTGGATTGAGCTTCCAATACACCATTAGCATTGGCTTCCTAATCTGGTAATCTTAGGTTGCAGCTCTCCGGAAGTTGGGCCTTCTGTAAACAAAGTCCTTCGAAACAAATGGTTCATATGAATCAAGGTCAGGGAGAAACAAGCTATGCTCGCAACTCTGCTTTTCAGGTATGATGTTCTTTGACACTTGAATTTACAAGACTGTCTCATCAAGAACTTCATTCATATTACACCAATTGTTTTCTGGGAATTTATGAAATAACTAGCTTATATTTCTCGAATTTGATAGAATGTATGAATTTAAAAAGCACACCATTAGCTCTTAGATTCTAGTCCTCTGTTCCACATTATAAGATGTTTTTGCAAGCTAAAACAACTTGCAAAAACATCTTATATTGTGGGACAGAGGGAGTACTAAATTTTCTAATGAAATACAAGTTGACTGCAGAGCGCTCAGCAGAACAGAATGAAACTCCTGATAGAAGCAGCCATCATTGACTTAGGCAGCAATACCAACACTTTGTTGCCCCAAAAGGTTGTGATCGCTGACTTGGGCTGCTCCACTGGCCCAAATGCCCTTGCACTTGTATCGATCGCCATCAAGGCTATTCAGAGTTACTGTCTTCAGCTCCAGCAGCCGTCACCGGAACTACTTGTGTTCCTCAATGACCTTCCTGACAATGACTTCAACATGGTCGTGAAGAGCCTAGTCACGCTCCGTCAAAGCAAGAAGCCTCTTGTCATGATTGGTGTCACACCAGGGTCGTTTTATGAGAGGCTCTTCACCAGTAGCTCATTGCATCTTGTGTGCTCATCCAGTAGCCTACAATGGCTCTCAAAGGTGCGAGTATAACACTACTCGATGGATCGATCCAATGAATAAATGTATTTAAAATGTAAGAAAATCTTTTATTTATATAGGCTCCTGAAGTTCTAGCGAGGAACCATATCCCGGCGTATGACATTGATGAGAAAGCTAGGCGTGAAAGACTCCCTATAGTCCTTCAGGCTTATGCGGAACAATTTAGGAAAGATTTCACACATTTCCTGGAGCTAAGGGCCAAAGAGTTAGCCCCAGGAGGACAGATGGTTGTTTCCATGGAGGCGTTTTGATGGTATTGCCTCCTTTCACATATGGGAAATCATAACTCAGGTTCTTAGTGTCATGGCTTCAGAGGTATATTCTTATTATTCCCTAACAAAAGAATGACTATTTGATCTTTCCTTATGACTAACAGGGAGTAATAGACAAAGAGAAGTTTAATTCTTTCTACATGCCGATGTATGGACCTTCAAATGAAGAGCTGAAGGAGATCATCCACGAAGAGGGCTCATTTTCAATAAGGGAGATGCTGGTGCATGACTTTACAGGCGGCATCAACAAAGAGCTCATCACCCCAGCCTGGACCGCTAACCAGCTAAGAGCCGTGTTCGAGCAGATACTAGTGCAGCATTTCGGAGATTTAATGGATGATTTTGTGAAGACTTCTGAGCGTTGTTGGAGCGTGGAAGGGAGGTTGCATGATGAGCTTGCCAGATTAGCTATGCTGACAGTCTCAGTCAGCAAGGCATGATTAATGGATGATCACATAACTGGCCGGTGTGTGACTGTGACTGCTTGCTTTCCAGACATTTGAATTTGATAAGATTGAACCACTGCTTTATTTAAGGCAATGTCACACTCTCACTTCATTATGTTAACTCAATAACTGTAATGTTATGTTTGTTGTTCCAGATGGAGTTGTGGCTGATTTGTAAATGGTTGCATGCCATCCTTGAACTTTTGGAAGGCAACAACTTTTTAGCGTTTCATTAATCAAACTACGGTATTGAGGTGTAGCTTGTGTGTAGTATGTGATTGCGTTGCTTCTATAATTATGAGTTTTATATAACATAGTATGTCAGCATGGATAATAGTTTGTTTTGTCACAATTTATATGATGGTGATAATACCATTAGTTTGTTTTGTCATAACGTTAGCTCACTCCCTTTGTCCTAAAATAAGTGTCTCAAAGTACAAAGTTGTACTAAGCTTGAGACACTTATTTTGGGACGGAGGGAGTATTACTGTCCGTAATACAGCTTAGTCGTTGCATGATTTCTATCCAAAGAACAAGACGTATCAAAAAAAAAAAATTAATGACGGAGCCATACCTGATCTGCATGATTTCTTGCTTATTTGATCTTAAGTTCTGGCAGCTGATCGACGCGAATTTCTAACCATCTCAACCGCGTTCATGGATGCAGGCAAGGACGGCGACCGGAAATTCTCGCGCAGGTGTCGCAGAATTCCGTTAACTTAGGCACCAAACATGCAAGACATGCCCATCGTCTGATTGATTCTTGTGGGGATTCATCTATTGATTCGTGTAATGTAAGGAGTAATAACTCAATTACTTTATCCATTGTGATATGTGCCCGCATGACAAATGTGTTAGAGCGCTCAACAGTTGTAGTGTTCTGAAAGAAACTCAAAAGGAGTACTAGTTCTAAAGAGACAAAGAATTAACACCGATAGTTTTTGCTACATGTATTAGAATACGAATCAGGTGGTACGCATACTTGAGGTACAGACTCGGTAGAAACAAAAACGGGCTCGGGCTTCCTGTTGTACAAGAGCACATCAGACGACTCCTCACTGCCATCCCAGCTAAACAGCCATGATGCATATCACAAATATGTAGTCGGAGATTAACTTTTTTAAGCAGGCGCCTGTTTCTGGATTAAAACAAGTGAAGAGTTGCTAATTTCTCCAACCATGCCCTGCTTGAACTTTTAGCCTGTGGCATGTAGTTGAGCATGCACCTCTGCCATCGCGTCTGGTTTGGGCAGGGATGTGATCTACTTGAGAGTGCGGTAGCACCTATGTGCTTGGAGTATTCAATAGTTCGAGCAGCTTGATTGCCTTAGATTTCCCTCTATCTGTGCCACTCTCGGCTAGATCCACCAGCAAGGACACGATCACACGAGGCCATGCTCCTGTGCTTCAATACGAGACTGTTGCTGCTGTGCGCCTCTGCCATTACAGAGATGCACCAGAATAGCAGCTGCATTTTCCTTGTTCCTTGGGGATTCATTCCTGATAACTGCAACCAGGCTTGGTATGGCAGCGGCAGCACTGATAGCTGCCCTCCCCTCAGGGTGACTGGAAAGAACATCCAATATAGAGACGGCCACATCAACCAGTCCATTTTCAGTCCACACTAGAAGCTCTAGCAGTATAGGGACCAACCCAGCTCTAATAGCTATGCTCTTGTTCTTGTTGCCCTGACAGTTACACACATAAAATAATGCTTCCGCAGCATGCTTTTTACCCGGTCGACTCCCAGTACGCAACAGTAGTATGAGAGGTGGAATCGATCCTGCAGCCCCAATAATAACCCTGTTTTCTTCCAATTTTGATAGGCTGAACAGCGCTGCAGCAGTATTCTCCCGGGCCACCATGCTGCCACTCTCTAGCACATATACAATTGCAGGAATAGCGCCGGACCGGACCAATCTTATCTTGTTCTCGTCCGCAATGGAGACATTCAGGAGAGTAGCGACAACATCTTCCTGGGTGCTAACATCATCTGTCGCTAGCATACTCACGAGGAAAGGAATGCCGCCGGAATCGCCTATAGACGCGCGATATTCAGGCTTCGCAAGCTGACGAAGCATGCCAGCAGCTCCCCGTTGGTGTACCACATTTTGTGACGATAGTTCTTTAAGAAGCTCGTTAACAACTTGTGCCTGCTCATAAGCGGTAAGTTGTGATTCTGCTGTTGCATTACTACTGACTTGACCAGAGCGTTTCGGCTGCTCCAAACCGTTTGCTTCACACCATTTGGCTATCAGGCTGCGTAGGTTATGATTTGGAATCAAAGATTTATTGACAAGCTTCTGCTGCGTCCTCCGACAGGTGTCGTGCCCCGAGTCCAACCATCTCATTATGCTGCCTCGATCATAAGTCTGTACATGCATTTTGAAGAAATTGTTATTGTGAGTTGAAATGCGAACTGAAGCTCTCCAGATGATAAGAAACAGAGAGTAAGCTGAGCAGAGACCTGCCCACTGGCCACTGTAACTGGGTCTTGCATTAAACCAAGTGATAGTGGGCAACGAAAATCATCCGGAAAAACAGGAGATGCCGGGATGTCTTTCTGCGTGGGAATGCCATTTTCATTCTCTGGAATGCTGACCACAGGAACTTGAACCTGCACAAATTCCTCAAGCTGCGTTGGTAGTATTGACGCCTTCTCAACAACGGTACCAGTATCTCCATGCCTAAATATTTAGAAGGATGGAGATACTCTAAGGACTTTGCTTCGGTCTTGCTTCACTCTAAGGACTTTGCTTCGGCGGTTGCTAAGGTGGGAAACAGGATGCTCTCTTGGAGGGGGAGATATAATACCAACGCTGGCAAAGTTGTTCTAATTAATTCCTGCTTATCTTCTCTTCTTATGTTTCTTATGGGCTTCTATCTTCTTTCGGCTGGCGTCCATGCTGGCTTTGACAAGCATAGGGGAGTCTTTTACTGAAATTCCGCCGACAACAAACGGAAATATAGGCTGGTCAAGTGGCAATGCATGTGTAAACCTAAAAACCTCGGGGGATTAGGCATTATTAATACTCAGGTGATGAACAAATGTTTGCTTATTAAGTGGTGGTGGAAAATTATGACTAGCGGGGCCGATTCCCTTTGGTTTTCGATTCTCAAGGCTAAATACTTCCCACGCTCTAGCCCGCTGTTTGCCACTGCTCGTCGTGGATCTCAATTCTGGAAGACCCTTGTCAAAATCAGGCCTATCTTCCTGGAACATGTAAAATTTATCGTGGGTAACGGGACTGCGGTCCGCTTCTGGCTGGACTGGTGGTCTGGGGATGCTCCTCTTGCTGTTAGGTTTTCGGTTCTGTTTTCGTATTGTCCTAAACCTGACATCTCCATCGCGGAGGTGGCGGCAAATAACCGGGATCTGGCTTTTCGCCGTTCCCTGTCTCCTGAAGAGTTGGAACACTGGCAAAGTCTCTCTGCCCTCTTCCCTTTGCTCTCGGATTCTTCTGATATGGTGATTTGGCCTTTTTCGGCCTCTAGCAGGTTTTCGGTTAAGTTGTTGTACTCTAGGCTTATCGGTGGTACCCCTTCGCGCAGATTTTCTTGTGTCTGGATATCCAAAGTCCCTCCTAAGATTAAAATTTTCCTTTGGCAAGCTTTCCGTGGCCGCCTCCCGGCGGCTGACCAGATTCACAAGCGCAATGGGCCAAGCTCAGAGTTTTGTCATTTATGCGGTGCCTTGGAAAATTCGGAACACATTTTTTTCCATTGCGTGCTGGCAAAGTTGGTTTGGAGTTGTGTCAGATCTTGGCTTCAGGTTTCTTGGAACCCTTCTTCATTCTCTGAGCTTAGAAACCTAGCCAAAGTTTTGGTTGGGGTTACCAAGAGGGTGTTCTGGGTCGGCCTGGGTGCCTTATGCTGGGCTTTATGGACTATTAGGAACAAATTTACTATTGAACATATCTTCCCTTCTAAGCCTGCTGACGTTCTTTTCAAATCATGTATTCTATTGCAGCAGTGGAGATCATTGACTAAGGATGAAGATCGGGATGCCCTGTACTTGCTCATCGCCAAAATTCGGGCTTCGGCATCCCACATCTCCGGGCTGGTCCCCGTCGTCTAATCAGGGTGTCGCTATGTTCGTAGTTTGGTTCTAGTCTCTCCTTGCCGGCCTGCGCGCCGAGTATGGCAGGTTGCCTATACCCCGTACTTTCGTTTGCTGGTCTCAAACCTTCTGTCCGGTGATTTCGTGATCTTTCGCCTGTTGGTTCCGTTTATGTTCGGGTCTGTGACGCTGCCGTGTGGCTTTATTTATAAAG